ATTCTCTTGGTTCCATCTATCATATTCAGCACTTCCGTACTTCGGTTCCTTCACTCTCCCATTGATGTATCCTATTTTCCCCAGAGTTTTATTCCCCTAGACCACTCAAGGTAGTTCAGACCATCAAAGGGAATAACAGCCATGGGGAAACTCATATCCATTCCCCCACTCACTCCATTGTTGCTCCCTGGAATCTCTGAAGTAGCAGAATTCTCAGACGACATGGTAAGCACAAGTTTTTTTTATCTGAACTCTCAACTTAGGATCCCTCCTTATATCGACAAAAAACTCCACACACAACAATTCAGTTCTGGACTTAATCTGAGCACAGAAAAAACAAACAGCACCAACTTCCGAAGAAGAACTATGACGAGACTGATTTTCACCACAGCATTAATCAATAACGTGTAAGTTCCACCACAGCATTAATCAATAAGAGAGATCCTAACACACATGAAATCAGACTAACGAGTGGAGAAAACAGGTCATCTACGACCTGCAGTCACCTTTTCATAGGTACAGGATCACACAATCCAACAAATAACAGATATAACCCTCACAAAAGTCTGCTGACATTTACAGGATCACACGATCCAACAAATAAAAAGATATAACCCTCACAAAAGTCTGCCGACATTCAGTGGTTTGGATTCATTCGCTCTCCACTTGGTACACGACCAAGGAAAGAAATAAAGGAAGAAAGAAAACTTTAGGGTTGTACCAGTTGCAGATCTGATTTGATCAGCCCAGATTCAGTCCTCTGTTCCGCCTATGATTCAGCAACTTGAAGGGAGAAAACTTGATCGCCCAGATTCAACAGCCTTGCTCTGATACCATCTTGACAATAAATCTGATTTAAATATGAGAAAGTAGAGAAGAGAAGGAAAGAAGAGAGAAAGGAGAAGGAAGGAAGAAGAAAAAGTTCGGAGCAATAGAACAGTACTGGCGGCGCCAGCTTTTATTATATTATATAGGGCGGCAGAAATAAGAAGGGAAAAGACCCTTGTGCCCCTGCTGTAAGTGAACAGTCATAACAGAAATATAAAACGCTTTAACTATCCAAACAGACCCTAACACAAATAACTAAATTATTTTAACAATAGTTATTCCTTTGATGATCATTGGAGGAGTTGGTTAGCAGTTGTTAATACTTCTACCAGGAAGAACAGACCTTTGGTACAGTGGATGGCAACTGGGGAGGAGTTTATTAAGCTGAACTTTGATGGGAGTAGCGGAGGTAACCCTGGACCTTCGGGTATAGGAGGAATTTTGGGAAATAAAGACGGTATTATCATCTCCTTATATTCAGGTCCTGTGGGTATGGGAGACTATAAGGGCTGAACTGCTTGCTTCTGTACAAGGAATCCATCTTGCAAACCAGCTAGGGATAGAACATTTGCTTGTTGAAGGGGACTCTCAGGTGGTGGTGGGATGGTTGCTGAATCTGGACTCTGTGATTTGGGGCTATAGAGATCTTTTAGAAAAAGTCAAATGGCTAAACAAGAAATATGATAGTCAAACTCGATGGCTGAGTCAATTGCTAAACAGGGGGTCTCTCAGGATTCTTTATTTTGGGCACCTTGTAATTATGCTCATCTGGTTTTGTAATGCTGTGATCAATCTTTAAGGAAAGATCGCATTTTGTGCCTCTCTTGGGTTGCCTGTAACTCTAATTTACTGGATTAATAAAATGTTTATTCATTTATTTAAAAAAAAGAAAAAAAAACATTGAGCTGCTCCATAAAATTTTGTTGTTGACTTAGTAAGTTTTGGTGTAATACTGTGTGTGCACACTGTACATTCTTTCTATGTTGTAGTTATGCTTGGGAAGTGGTATGTTTGGGAGGTCTCTCTCTCTATCTGGTGTTTCCACAAACATATTTCTTCTTCCGTGTTATTTATCTGATTCCGGATCTGAAATACAGAAACCATTGAATCTGAGATATTCATCCCACCACTTGTTCTGAAAGTTGTAGTATTCCCTATCTGTCCTACATTAAGAACCACCAAGGATGCATTCATTCTTAATCTCCCTTAAAATCAGATGGTCAATTGTGAGAATTTTTGAGATATGCTTGTCTAAATGAAAACACACCTTTGTTGCGATATAAAACATAGCCCAATCTTGTTTCCAGCTATCTTGGGGTCTTGGGAGGGGTAGACTGGATATGGACCTTACCTTGGGATTTATTTATTTGGTCACAAAGTGGGTGCTCTCAGACTTGAACCCGCATTCTCATGCTTGTCAGCCCAAGACCAAATCCAGTACCAAGGGAAATATACATTATTCCCTTCTGGCATTGCTCTAGAAAAGGACTAAACTGTAAATAGACCATTGGGATTTGGTTCCAAGCTCTGCTTTTCTCCCATCTGATGATTATCATTTAATTGCAATGACATCTGGGTTTTAGTATGTGTATGTGTATTTGTGTGTGTGTGTATCTGGGATTACTTCAAATCCCCTTAAAATGTTCCATACCGGTTCATTTAAGATATGAAGTCAACATTATGTGTTTTAAGAAATGTTATGTTATAAATGTCTTGTATCAGTAACACTATTAATAGTTAACTACTTATATATGGTCTAAAATTTTAGATTTGGAGATAACATTTTAGTGTATATATGCATTGTAACAGCTATTTTGGTTACTGCTTTGGTCCATTATGACCTGCTTTGGGTAATCCTATTTCATATGGTTTAACTTATAAGTGCCACAATTACTATATTTGGTGTATATCATCATCTAAGCCTTGTTCAAACTATAAGGGTTTGACTACACAAATCCTTCTTTGCTATTCCTTTCTGTTCAGTGTAACTGTCTTACGTGCATTGTCTAAATTTCTTGTTGTAGGATCATGAAATTGTAAGAGGGAAGCCACTGTATTTGAGTGAGGAACGCTATTCAGCTCTTACTTATATGGTAAGTAGATCATCTTTCCCTTGCATTTATGGTTTATTTTGACAATTTTGTGCTTCTAGAAACCAAACCTTGATGGTTTAAAGTTGAGCTCTTCGGAGCCACTACTTGGCTCGGCTGTTCAGATTCCAGCAACTTCAACTAGCAAATTGTTTACTTGAAGGATATACTCTCTCACAGATACATGCTTTGAGTGAAGGGGGACTTTTGAATGTGTTTGATTTTTCTTGTTTTGATGGTCAAATTGTATGCACTTACTTTATATTCAATTATTTGTGATCCTGCATGATAGGTGGCATCTCATGGCCTTGATCGGAGTTCTGAAGTCCTTCGTCAAACAACTATCGATATACCTTTCATTATTTAAGATTATTAAGAGAATATATTCAAGGCTCTCTATTGAGGCGGGGTTTCAATCTTCAGCGGAGATGCTGGTTTCTGAGCATTTGGTGTGCATATTTCAAGGGTGAAATTGTGCCAGATCAACTAAGAATGGAGAGTGGATGTTCTGGTGCTGAAAAATCTACTTGTCTGTATATTTTTAGCATAGCTCAGGCACATGGATCTGAGATTCTGGCGTCCTGGAAAAAAAAGCAGTGCTGTGCAGCATATTATGGTTAGTATGTTTGCCTTTCTCTTTTTTTGGTTTAATTAGCATTGGTATCCCCCACTTTTCCAATTTTGTTACAGGAGGCGTCCTTGTCGAAGAAGGCAATGGTGGCCAGCTATTTGACCATTACGGTCATCAAATAGGGGTAGCTATTTGTCTTCTAAATGGTGAGGTTTGATCACGTATGTCAAAATAGAGAGACAAGGAGCAAGAATGGACGTTATCTTACGAGCAAAGATGGTTGATATGTCTGTAAGAATGTTTCCTCATTAGACCAATGAGATGGTCCCACATAAAAAAGTCGCCCACCTCTGATTATGAAGGAAACTTCAATTGTTGTGGGATCATCTCATTGACCACAGAAACACTCCTGCAGACGTGTGAGCTGAAATTAACTTGCTTAGAATACGTTTGTTTTGTTATCTGAAACCTCTTCCATGGATTGACAGGTTCATAACTGCTTTGTTTTTTCCTCAAGGCTCCAGATTGTACAGTTCACTCTGGTTCAGTAAGAAATCAAGTTACAGTTTATGTTCTCTTGCCTAAAAAGGATATCCATAATTGGATAAAAACAAAAAAAAAAATTGTAAATATGTTCAGATTTTAAATTTGCTTTTACTGTACTTTAAATGTCTTGATTGGATTTAAAAGATCAAAACAAAATATTTGAACTACTTTTGAAAGTATTAACAGCACAATATGATAGCAAGATTCAAATTTTCGAAATGTCCGTTATCAGGCATACTTACGAAACGTCCGGTATCAGGTGATGTATTATATTGGTCGGTTCCTCGAAAAACTGTTTTCAAGTCTTTTTAGTTTTTACAAAGTCTTCCTTTTAAGTGATAAATAATAATTTTAACCCCCACCCCCAGGGTGAAAATATGAAAAAAAAAATGTGCGTTCTGGACTTCTGGTGTATGGATACTTAGAACCTTGGGCTTGTCGCCTGCACAGAAACCAACTATCGGCATAATTTGGGTTAAATACTTAATTTTTTCGAAATTCACCGACTATATCATTGACATTTGAAAAATGATGGTATTCCAAGGGGCAGTTGCTGTTTTGTATGGACGGAAAGATGGAAAGCTTTTTTAACCATTAATCATTTTAAATTTTTAGAACGTTTTTAAAACAAGAGGCAACAAATTCTGTTTGAGCAAAACAAGAGGCAACAAATTCTTAATTCCTATAGCCGTCCCACCCAGGTCAAGGATATACCTATAGAATATAATAAAAATTTTTTTGATCAATAACAATAAACTGTGAAACTTTGTGTAACTTAAATTAAATTAGGGGGAGGTAAAATGTCTTAACTCCCCACTAACATGGAAGAAAATTAAAAATTAGCCCAAAGCAAAGATTTCCTATTCACCCCATGCTTGATTAAACCATCGGCAAATGAATTAGCAATTCTCTTCATCTAGTTGTATTACACCTCAATATCTTTATTGAATTATTTCCTTTCATTGTTGTAGCTTTACAGACTATTGTTGTTTTCCTTTAGCTATCTAATAACTACCTCAAAATCAATGTCAAGGACTAAATGTTTGATGTTCAATTCTCTTGCTCTTTAAATTCCTTCCAGAACTACAATAATCTTAGCCCTAAGAGAGTCACCTTTTCCAAATGAGCCTGAAAATATGGAATATAACTCTTATCTTCTTTTTGAACACTCCTTCAATCTCAGAAGGCTCTAGATTCCTTAAGTTATTACCATCAAAATTCAGTTTTATGAATCCAGCGGGAGGAGGGGACTAAGAGTCCTCTTACATTGATCTAAGGTAGTTATCTCTTTGAAATTTCTCAACAAGTCGATCACTTAATACTTTGAGAACATCATTCAGCCAATGGGTTACCCTTAAGTGTATCAGTTATGATTAGTTTTCCATGGTTCTTTTTTTTTATCTGAAAAAATTCATAAGCTTCTTTCTTCCCTCAAGGACCAACACATGCCTTAATGCTTCTCCACATAATATTCTTTTTATTTTTAGGTCATTTGAAGAACGAAGGAGAGAGCAAACTTTACACAAGGGAGATTTCAAATACACCTAAAAAGGGAGAAAGCCTACTCCTATACAGTTTTAGCAACCAGATAAGTAATCATAAGGTGGTAATTAGGTTTCCCATCAACTTTGTAGGGAGTACATTTATTGAGATATAAATAAGAATAGGGTCTCTTTTTCTGAAGCAAGTCATTTGTGTTAATTCTTTCTAAGAAAGATTCTTAATACAAATTACAAACTTGAGGAGGAATGGGCTTTGCTTCAAATCTCTTTAAAAGAGAAGGACAACCCAAGAGGAACAGGAGGTTGAATTAAGGTTTTAAAAAAAGAAGCACAAGGGAAAGTACTTGAGGAAGGAGTCCAAATTTTGGTTTCTTCCTTATTAGGGTCCAAGAAAACATTTTCAATGATGACTAACAAAGACAAAATACTGTCGAGTCTATATCCCTAATTGCTCTTCTCATGCCTTACAATATAAGAGGATGGTAACAATTTTTCATCAAAAAGCTTGATTTCATTTTCCTTTTTACCCTTTATGTTTTTTTGTTTTCTAATATATTTATTTAAACCATCATTAAATGGACCATACACTATCAACCAAAGTTTCTACAATAAAAATGAGTATACAAACTAATAATGGGCATTTTGGCAGCTCCCAGTTTGTAGGTAACTCAGATGCCAAGCTGGAAGGATTTTCAAGCTATGTAGTTCTTTAGAGGGACCTGCAAGGAAACAATGCTTGAGTTAGTACTTAGTTGTGCGAACTGAATGCTAATATGCTATTAAGCTTGTGAGCAATAAATCATACCTCCCTGTGAGGTTGGAGGTGAGGTCTATATATACGTGCTGTTTGGCGTGGGCTTCATGCATTGCGCCTGAGATCTCCGGGAGGTCGTGCCTAACCGGTCTAAAGTCCTCAGAGGTAGTCGTGCTCGTAGACTAGTCTTTGTGCCTTGTTCGATTTCCTTCAAAACATTCAGTGCGGGGGCCAACTTTCGAGAAACCCAAGAGTGACGGGATACGCATGTAGAATTGGTCAGCTAGCATGTCTCGCAGGTCGCCACCTGGACCTCAATCAGGTTGACAAGACCTTGAAGGAGGTCGCTCCTCACATCAAGGTCACTTCGGCTGGTGATGAGGTGTCACAGGGCGGCCCTAGACGAGGTGCTGCTAGCCGCCTGAATTGTGGACGAGGTCGCCACATAGGTTTTCACCAAGTTGCAAGTCGCTAGGTTAGCGAGGGAGGCAGGTCGCCAGGTTGGACTCCATTACTATGGCTAAGGCAAGTCATCACATAGATGGTGTTTGAGTGTCATCCAACTTCCAAGATGCCATGTGTCATGATGTTACTGGAGGGCCAAATCTGCCCTCATCAATTGCCCCCCTCTCCCGAGCTGTGGTCAGCTTGGCGAAGGGAGTAGCTTGTTCCTTTGGCCTCGGAGTGACTAGTTTGATGAGCTCGTAGGCATAGATGTTGGTCTAGTTTTCTCCTCAAGTCAGAAGAGTCTAAGTGCAACCTTATGCAGGACCTCACCATCTTGATTATGGGTGCACAAGAGCGAATTCGTTCGCTCGAGGAGAGGCGAAGTAAGCACCTCGAGGACATCTACCTTACTAGGGATGCAACCATCAAAGAGTTTTGCAATTCAACCTAATACCTCAAGAGCAAAGTTCGCCATGCCATTCAAGAGGGGCTTCCAACTGCGTGACTACCTTGTTAGATCGCTCCACTCAAGTAGCTACAACATCTCTCGAGCCGGTTCTCAAAAGAGTAGCTGGTGAGGTCTATGCGGAGCCTAAAATCGAGGTGGAGGTCGGTTGTGAAGAGATTGACCAATTTTGCATGTCTGCCACGGTGTTGAAAGTGAACTAATCTTCCCTTTGCTTCTTTTTCTCTACTTTTTTTAGGGTCGGCGGTGAAATGCCGACATCCTTTGAGATTGATTTAAGCATGTTGCCGAGCTAGATAAATGGGGGGCCGACCTGCTTAGATCGGTATACCTGTTGCCATTGTGTTTTGAAGTTGCCTTGAGGGCGCCTTAGCTAAAAAGTGGTATGGCTTTCCCTTAGACCTCAATTTGACCAGGTCACCAAAGCGGATGGTCGTTCTGTAGTAGCTTTAAATGTGGTTGCATTTATGCCATCACGTGGAATTGACTCTCCTGGGTCTGCACTTACGGGTCAATGACATACATGTACTGCATTTTCTCTCAGAACTACTGGTCGCCCACTCCTACTGGAGTTGTGGGGGGCTCACCTTGAGGGGGTGGTTGTGCTGTCTGTGGGTCGCCTACTCATGGAAACCACAGGGTTCGACCTATGAGGCCGGTTCCACATTTAGTTCACTTTCAACTCTCATAGGAGTCATACAGAACTCAATCAGTAGTGGGTCTTTGAAGTTCAGGCTAGGAGACAATCTGGGCCAAATCGCTTGAAACTCATCCAGGCTGGTCATTCATATTTGGTCCTACTCATGGGTTTTGTTGATATGTATGTTGTTGTCGGCATTGGATGGATGCCACGGCTACACTGCATCAGCCCTCGGAGACGCTGGTCATCTACTCTTACGATAAGCCACAGGGAGCTTAACCTGCGGGGACATCTCTACTAACTATAGGTCGCCAACTTGCATGGGAGCCTTGAAAAGCTCGACTCGCAAGGGCGTTCGCACGGTTCGTTGGCCGCCAACTCCCGTGGGAGCCACGAAGGGCTCGATCTATAGAGGCGACCTCACAAAACATAGCTGATGAGGCTTCGTCCGGGCTGACTGTTGTTGAAAATGAATATAGAATGAGTTGAGGTCGGTGGGGCTACTCCGCAATCAGTTGGCCGTTAAGTCCCGCGAGAACCACGAAGGGCTTGACTTGCGGGGGCAGCCTCACTCTAAGGTGCTTGTCGCCGGACTGCTAGTTGTTGAGGTCATTCTATTGTTGCTTATTCTGTGGTGGCATGAATGCATCGAACTTCTCCTCCCATGCCCACATCTGGAGATTCATGCTTTAGTTCATAAAACTATCACGCTTCAATCCCGGTGGGAAGTGTTGATGGCTCTACCGCGGGGAGAGGGGCGTTCACATGAGGTAGCGGTGTATTCATCTGGGGTAATGGGAGTGCTGGGTTCAACACGGTTGCTATTCTAGGAAGTGCTAGGAGCACTGAACTTGCCTGATTGTCACAGAGGGGTTCTCAGGGTTCGTCATGGATGCTCTTGCCCCCTAGTGACTGATACTTCGTTGTTGATGTAGGTGTTGCTCAAAAATGCCAATGAGTTGATAAATGTGAAAATTAGAAGGTGTGAATTTAGCAAATTAGGAGGTGAGAACTTAAGCTTTTTGTTGCATTTCCCACAAACGATACCAATTGATGATGGGCATTTTGACAACTCCCAGTTTGTTGGTAACTCGAATGTCGATCTAGAGGATTTCCAAGCTATGTAGTTCTTTAGAGAGAACCGCAAGGAAACAATGCTAGTGTCCAGGTTGCTTTTACCTGGCGTGGGCGCTCCGATGCTTAAGCTAGTATTGAGTTGTGCAAATTGAATGCTAATATGCTATTAAGCTTGTGAGCAATAATCCGTACCTCCTTGTGAAGTTGGAGGTGAGGTCTATATATAGGCGTTGTTTGGCATGGGCTTCTCGCATCGCGTTTGAGATCTCCGGGAGGTCATGCCTAACTGGTCTGAAGTCCTCGGAGTTAGCCG